TCAGTCCAATACAGATGCGTGGCCAACAGCGCGCGGCTCTCGGGCGGGTGCCACGTGGTGGTGGGTCGGGTTATTCCCTTCCTTCTCTTAGTCCAATACAGATGTATTATTATTTCCTTCTCTCTCTCAGTCCAATACAGACCCGCACCCGTCAAAGGACGGGTGCGGGTCGGACACGGCACTGCCTGTCGCTGACGCTGTTAAATTGTTTCCATCCTTCTTTTATTAGTCCAATACAGATGTATAGCTTATTTTCTACTCTTTCTCAGTCCAATACAGATGCGTGGCCAACAGCGCGCGGCTCTCGGGCGGGTGCCACGTGGTGGCGGGTCGGACACGGCACTGCTTGTCGCTGGCGCTATTTAATGTTCTATCTTCTCACGACTCTCAGTATAATGTAAAACTTTTTTTAAATAATGACGTAAATATTATGTGCCACACGCAGGACCTTCCTGGGGTCCAGGAGGGGTCTTAAGTGTTAAGTTTGTCTTGAAGCGCTGGCAGAGCCCGAAATTTAAGGAGACATTTAGATATATTTTTAAGGGCTCGTTTATGTGTTAATAATTATTGGTCTAAATGTTTTGCATTCTCAGTCCAATACAGATGCGTGGCGAACAGCGCGCGGCTCTCGGGCGGGTGCCACGTGGTGGCGGGTCGGACACGGCACTGCTTGTCGCTAGCAGTTGACTGGGCGCGTGTGGAGAGACGCGCGCGCGACGCGCCGGCCTGCAGCGCATTGGCTACCGTCACCGTGCTTACGGGCGCGGAGTACACGAGGCGGAGGATACTCAAGTAAGTTTTTACGATTATCACATTTTAGATGATTTCAATATTAATAAAATCCACTTCCGCTTATTAGAGAAGCAATATTGAATTAAAACTCATGATTCGTTCTTCTCTTCTACCCCCAACATTTTTGAATTGAAAACTATTGCAAGTGCTTGCACAGAATAATAATAAGTACTACGTACAGAAGTTTTACTTCGCGAAGGTATTTAAAAAAATGTATGCTCAATGTCATTAACAATATGGTGTAATTTAGCCTGTCTCAAGAGTCAAGCACCATTTTGTTGACAAACGTCAGTGATCGGCACTGCGCCGAAGCTATAGGGCTGACTTCGGTAAAATGATGTGACGTGAGGAGCCAAACTGCGGAAAATGGCGGAAGAAATACATGATTTAGCATGAATAATATTAACTACTTATTTAACTCTCAGTGTCTTCAGGCAATTTAAAAAAGTACATTCTGTGTTTTTATTATTATTTAAGCAGTTAAATACTGCACAGTATTTAGTACACCATTTTCTTTATTTTCTTCCATCACACACAAGAATACGCGTGCGTGAGTCAATGTTCGCTCGTATGTGAGGCCTTGTCGAATAGTATCCTGTAGGTGGGCCATCGTGCGTGTTTTGTTTTCGATGTAAACTCGCGGAGATGAACAGGCCTGGTGCTTGTAAGATACCAAAGCCTTCCTCTCATAAATAATTTTCTTTCAGGGTTCTGAAAGACGAGTCAAATGGGGAGCTGGATACTTCCATGCTTCCCGACCATCTGAAAGTGCTGGCTGGCCAGTTTGAAGGTGAAGACCCCAACATGGATGTTCGTCTAGTTGACTTCAAAGAAACTAAGGTTAGTTACAAGTTTAAAATTTTAATAGAATCATTATTATCAGTATCTTATGTGTGTGCGATGCAAAAATGCAGAGGATAATAGTCAGCCTCAAATAATTCGTGACATCCAAAGTGGCCACTTAGTTGACAACCCAACCTTATTCCAATTGTAACAAAGACACGTTGCGTACTTATTGGCCACTTTGGGTCATCGTCATCATTTCAGCCACAGGACGTCCACTGCTGAACATAGGCCTCCCCTAATGCTTTTCACGTTAATCGATTGGTAGCGGCCTGCGTCCACCGCTTCCCTGCTACCTTTACGATGTCGTCGGTCCACCTTGTAGGTGGACGTCCCACGCTGCATTTCCGGTACGCGGCCTCCATTCCAGAACCTTGCTGCCCCATCGGCCGTCAGTTCTGCGTACTATGTGCCCTGCCCATTGCCACTTCACTTTGGGTGTCACGGCCTATTTGACGCTGCTTTACAACTCTTGGCATTCACTATCGCTTCATTACAGTGCAAATCTTTTTACAGGCATCGTTGAACGAGCTGATAGGCGGTTTGCAAGAACTCACGGCGCAAATTGATTTGCCGCAGGACTTTGCTGACGAAAACACCATCATCATAACTGACGACACCATGATTGAGCATCACACTCTTTGCGATTAAACTGTATTAACGTATGATCACATAGCTAAAGGGTTTTCTTCGCAAAAGACCCGCGCACGTGCCGTCTCTTACAAATGACACACCATGTCCCTATGTGACCATACCTCTTTTTAATTTGAACTAATGTGATAGATAAGTATTTAATTTAATTTTAAATGTATTGATAATTAAGTTTTGTTTGAGTAATTATAATGTATGTTAGGTAATGATAATGTAATGAAATGTTCTCTCTAATTACCATTTTTCTATTAACAATTTCATTGCATAAGTCTGATGTAATAGATATATTTTGACATGTAAAAATCAATTTCATATTTATATTCCGTCCTTAACGTGTAAACTCATAAAAGCAAAATAAAAAGCAATTTTAATTCATATTATTTATTATTTTCTTAACCAGTTATATTTATTCCAATCGTTTTTCCTATTTTTTTTTAAATCATTGTATCTAAGAGATTCGACTGTCGATCGCAGTGATCCATTAGAAATGACCGTTTCATATATTGCCTACAACTTATAAAACTAAAATGCATTTCCACTTAAAATATATTCATTAAACACCGCAAAAATGATAATATTTTATATATACAGGACTAAATTTGACGGTTCATAAAATTCAAACGGTTACTTTTGCTACTATACTAATCCTTCGCAGTAAACCCCCGGTCGTTAGGATACAGAGAGAAGTGCGGGAGACAAGTTAACCCTTATTCAAATGCGAGCTGGTATGCATTTTTTTTACAAAGTTGAAGTGGATTTTGGGTAATTGTGGGTCACTTATTTCATATTTTTGATCAAAATTTATTAAAAAATAGGGGTAGGGGTAGTTTTTTGGGTGGTAAATAATTTACCATTATCCATTCATGACTACAAATTATTCAATGTTGGTGGTAAAATAGTTACCATTGTCCGTTTTGGTTTATTTTTGGTTCTTGACTAGTGACTTCCTCTTGGTTCTACCTATACAGGGTGTTGATTTCAATACCCGCCATATTTAGGGAGTAGATTAAGTAGCTTATTCTGATCACGAATCAGCAAAAAAACTGACTTCCAAATTTTTTATTATTATTTTTTAAATATCTACGATTTCCATAATCGACCACTACAGTGCAGAATAGTCCCCCAACGCAAACGGCGCGCGGCGCTCACCCGGTGACCCGGGCAAGCGCTGCGCCCCCCGTCCCGCGCCCCACTACCCGCGCTCGCCCATGAGTCAGTCAACTATCAGCCACAATCAGCTGTGAGTTCAAAGACGACTACTGGACAGAGCTTAATCCAAATCTACCCTAAAAATGTAATGAGTAAATTAGTTACTTACACCTTATCATGTTACGAGTTTATTTGTTGTTCTAAAAACTAATTAATTAAGTACTCTTTAATTAATAAAAAAACCTTTTACACGAATTTGCTTCCTTCCGCAAAATAATTTTTTTTACAGAACCTACATTATTATTATTTTTTAATTAAACCATGCTTTTATGTGTGTGATAAGCTTGTACCTACTTATCATTCAAAAGTACTGTAAACAGATGACAATAATGCTCTTTCATACAGGTTCGTTANAATCTTTGGAGGCGCTAGTAGCCTGGTAAGATTAACGTTTAGCGAATGTTATAGTTGTAGCAATGTACAGTATCTTTGTTATTCACTTGTTTGTTACGTATTTATGTCAATAAAGAAATTTTAAAACTAAACTGTATGGATGATAATAATTATGTACACTAGGGCTGATTACTCAATCGTCGGATAACTTTTATCTGAAGAATAAGTTTGTCACATTGACAGTTTCACCATGGGAAATATGTCGAAATGACAAGTTTATTCTTCAGAAAAAGACATTTTGACAATTAAAAATTTAGAAGTTTTTATTAATTTCAGGTGGGGGATTCCGTGGAGGGTAGTTGAACGGGAAACATGGTCGATCTGTTTTAATTGTTTCAATTTATTATTTAATGGACTTTAGTGTACAAATTTGGTGTTATTTTGTGTTCTAAAGTGCAGTGAAGTGATAAATTATAAAAAACATTGAAATACTTCGAGTTTGAGCGCGCATCGAGTGTCGAGTGGGTTGTCGTCTGAACAACCCGCTTTGGACCCGGTGGCGTCTTGAAACCTGCTTACGGGCATACTTAACTCCACGGAATCCATGAAAAATCAATAGAACTGAAACACCCACGTTCTATTGATAACTATGTCAATATTTTTCACTCGACATTGGCAGAAATAAACCTCCCAGAGAGGTTTGGTTGCCACAAATAAAAAATAAGTGAGACTATACAATAAATGTTTTAGTTTAGGATTTTGAATCGAAAAAACACTTATCAGAATTTTCGTTGAACAAAGTTTCAAAAATACCAAAAACGCGCGCTAAAAACTTGAAATTTTTCACACCAAAACCGTTTGGTTGACTTTGACATTACCTGACAGTGACAGATGACGTTGAAAAGTTGTAAGATGGCATAGATAAGTAAAAAAATATATTTAAAAATATAAATAAGTGACCACGATATCTTTAAGTATCACCATATCGAAAATTAGGATCCTTTTTTAAAAGTAAACGAAGTGGTAATATATCTACCTTTATTTGAATAAGGGTTAAAGTTCGCATAATGATAAACAAAACCACGGGCTTAAACGAGAGTGTTGGTCCTTCTGAGGGGTTTAGCGCAAAGGACAGCGTCAACAGTACATCGAGCTTGGTGTATTTTATTATATTATCATGATTATATCTCTTACACAATGAAAATATCCTTCTATCGGACTCGACTCACTCGCGTGCACTCATCCGTCCCGCTCACGCCTCGCGCACTCGCTCTCACTCGCACTCGCTCTCACTGCACGTCCATTCACGTCGCATTTGGCAGTTTATCATAGTCATTCTCACGTTATGTCAATATTCACATGGAACCTCACAACGATATAAAATAATGTAGCGTTTGCACTTGAACAGATACTACACTACGTGATTACATATAAAACATGAAGGCGAGAGATAAAATGTGAATATTAACATTTAACAATAGTGAGCTCCACATGGGATGTCTACTTTGCCGTACAATCTACATATGAAAAAATCTTATTAAAATGGAAGTACTTACACATCTTTATAATTTTACGATACAACTAATTTGGGTCAAAAATGGCTGACGATTCGATTAGTACAGTGCTTTGAAAATACTATTTTCATTAATTTATTGCATTATACCTATAAGTCTAAGAGTCGCAAAAGAAGACATAACGAGAAGATATTAATTCGCAATATACCAATCTAAATACACTAAGTTTCAGAAATGTACAGCTAAAATAATCCCTGGGTGACACATTCACTTATTCTCGTGGATACATTGCGTATATCGTAAATATATACATTACACACTCACACGTTTTTACAATAGGAATTAAGGATACTAAACTAAAAAAATAATAAACCAGTCACTTAATGAGCTATAAAATAGTATGTAAGATTGCCAACGATACACTGGCCTAGGGCGCGGACCGCGGTCCGGCGTAATGCGATTGTTGTAAGAACAATGACATCCTAATTATAGTTATTAGTAATTGCCGAGGCTCGTGAGTTATCATAACTTGCTGTTGTTCCTTCTACATTACTCCTTAACAAGTAAAATACGCGTCTCTGCAACGACACCGCGTCAGAGAAGAGATCGTATTTTAAGAGATCAATATGGCTTCATAACACGTGCGGTTGCATTACAGTTGATCAAGTTAACACAATATCAGCAATTGCCACAGCTAACTTATAATATCGCTTATAAATTGTCCATAGATTGATTTCGGTAACGGAACAGTACCACATTCGCCCGCCACTAAATACCGCAGTCACCGCACAGTGAGGCTCGGAGAGGTTCGACGTCAATGCAACAAATTAATGGACGAGAAATATGCATTGAATTCAGTAATAATTCGCTGATTTCAATTTGTCATTATAGTAAAAATTATCACAGATAACGTTAAAATAAAAAGTAAGATATTTATGCTGGAATTGTAGAAATAATAATAATTATAACTAAAATGATTTGCAATAACTTCTGGAGCTCTCATTGCTCGATTGCTACCGATTATTTGGTCCACAGGCGATGTTCAGGCATTCGTGGATTTTTATAATCGGTATAAAATATATTTTTTCGCGGGCGATATAATACGTTCGGATATACATACATTAAATATGTTTATTCTAAAAAAAATGCAATCGAATATAATTTTAACACCCGCTGCAACGATCCGTGGCCTCTGTATATCAAGTACGCGTTATTTGAGCAGGGACAAGATGCTAACTGGTCGGAAGCCAGGTATAACAAAATTTATAGAAAATGTAGGTTTGTTTGTTGAGAGATCTCGTTGAGATTCGCCCTTATAATCCTTAAAACCCTGCTATGATTTGTCTACAGATCTATTCTATATTTTAGGTTTATTTCTGGAGAATTTACCGTGATCGGGCGTGCGGACGGATTTAAATAGGCACTACGTTCAAATCGGGTACTTCTTTGTAAATAAAATCACCATTTCACGCGTAATGGGCTCGTTATGAACAATGGGTAGTCGAGCAAACTCCAGATCACGGTAAACATCGATTCGAGACGTGCTTATTGTTTCATTTGCGACAAACTGCTCCGATTGCGTTTCGCAAAACGTATATTTAAACCCGAATAGTTTGCTAATAGAAAATTCTAATAACGTCGTAATAATCATCTAAAACAACCCGCGTTTAAATATACGTCTCCGGGCCGATTTGCGAATTTAATGTACAATATATTATGAAAAATTTACATTGAAGTAAACATTAACTTTTGGCGTTTTCATTTGTGGGGCGGAGGCCATTTATAAAAATAATGGCATAATATAGCTCATTTCATATAATTCTCGAACATCGACTGATCCGCTGACCGGTCCAGTATCGAGTAGTCACTAACGGTGCAATACGGAGGCATTTGTATCATCTATTTTGTAACTTCTAAAATATCGTCATATTACGAATTCAGTAATTTCTACCGGAGTGCTATTCCATTATTTGTTATGCTACAATTATCTGGAAGCGGAGATTGCAGGTACTGCGGCGTTTCGCTGAGGACAGAGCCACTCGCCCAAGTATGTCAGCGTCGTATAACAAATACATAGTGGGTTTAGAGTCTTTAGATAAAATAAACTATTTCCTTGTCATACGACGCTTATAAGCCTTCTTGACGCAACTCGTACTACTCTGATATCCAAAGAATGAAAATGTGTCACCGACACAATTATCACTGTGACGTCCCGTCCAAATGTGTTCAATCTTAGTGCTCATTGAAACTTGGTCGATCGCTGTGATTTACATCGACTTATCACAGGGATCGCACGAGCGTTTCGCTGGCTCATGACTTTTGTTCAAGCAATGGGGATCAGGCGACACTCAACCGTTCCATTTGTGGCACACTACAATCACGTGCTGTTCAACCGTTTTACATTAATAAGTGGCACATTCGATCTACAACATAAATCTGTTTGTCAATAAAAAATTCGTATATTGCACGTACGGTGAACTTAACCTTTAATTGTGCAGTTTCATCGTGTCACTAGCGCATTATATCGGGTGTCACAAAAATTCGGTTTCGAGCGCGTCCGAGGCACTTACTGGGCGAGAGTGGTCTGCTGTATAGGTCGCTCAACGAAAGTTGAGGCGTACACAACACTACACATTCAAGTTCAAATACACTGGCAACCATGCGAGACGACAACGCAGGGGCTCGCTTGTGACGTCAGCTTATCCCGAGACGGTGATCGCTCGTATCCAGTTCTCTGCTCGTGTTGATGCCTCAAGTCGTGTCGCGCGAGCTATACCTGCGGCGTGGATTGCGAGGCGGAGGTCGCGGGCGGGACGCGGCGTTAGGGCGCACGGTAGAGCAGGTAAGCGGTGAGCGCGGGCGGTAGAGCCAAGCGGGACGCGGCGGCCCGAAGGCGCGGGCGGCCCACGCGCTGCCGGATCACGCGCCGGCACAGTTCCATTAGCGGCAGGGGCTCGGCTGAGGGAGAAATATAGATTAATACAGGATCTCGGGTTGAATTAGATTCAGTTTACTATACGCGACTATCAGACGTTACAAAAAAGGGACCTAACTAAAACAGTACTGAATCTTTCTAAAAATTAGATATACACAACGGACTACTAATAGAATCTTATTAAGACAACAGCGGTTAATAGGGCTGTAGTCTTTTTTTACGAACCAATAACCGAATACAGAAGGAGGACATAATAAAATATTTGATATATTCAAAGCTCGCAGAACTTTTGAACTGATGGCTGTTGTGACAATAGTTCTCGGTTCTCTCATTGAATAGACGATCTAACAAAGGTAGCGAAAAGCACCTGAATGCAGGCGCGAGAAGCATCTGAATGCAGACAGCACAAGACCGGTCGTTATGGAAATCCTTGAAACGCTTTCTCCAGCACTAGACGTCAATTCAAAATAAAGGTACTCACGGTCTAGCCCGCCGATGTACTTCATAGTGATCTCCGCATGCCCCCACACAGCCGACACGATAGGATACAGCGTCTTCCCACGCAAGCCACGCGCCGCTACTCCGAGGTAACGGCCGTCGGCGCAGAAGGCCAGGGTGCCTTCATCCATATCCAGGACTACGAGCAGTCGGTCTGGCACTAAGTGCTTGTTCACGTAGGTACGCGCGGGCGCGGGAAACGTTGCGAGCTCGTGTTCACATTAACCACCAGGCGTTCGCGCGAGTGTGACGTAGTATCGTTTCTAGCGACAAGTTCAAACTGGTTGAACTTACCTGACGTCGCGAGTGAAACGCGCGCGCCGCCGCTAGTTTGACATGAACACACACAAACATCTTCACGCATTGAAATTACCGCGAGCGCTCCGCGCGCACCAGTCGCTAGCTTGCCTGCTAGTTAGACCGCACCTGCGTTTCGTACGTGAACACTTGGAATCACTACATATGTTTGATATTTCGTCACCGCGCCCGCGAGTCAACGTGAACAAGCACTAAGAACTGGCTTTCTCCAGCACTGGACGTCCTTTGTTTACGAAGAGATATATTCAAAATAAAGATACTCACGGTCTAGCCCGCCGATGTTCTTCATAGTGATCTCCGCATGTCCCCACACAGCCGACACGATAGGATACAGCGTTTTCCCGCGTAAGCCACGCGCTGCTACTCCGACCATGTCCAGGACCACGAGCAGTCGGTCTGGCACTAAGAACTGGCTTTCTTCAGCACTGGACGTCCTTTGTTTACGAAGAGATATATTCAAAGGTACTCACGGTCTAGCCCGCCGATGTACTTCATAGTGATCTCTGCATGTCCCCACACAGCCGACACGATAGGATAAAGCGTTTTCCCGCGCAAGCCACGCGCCGCTACTCCGAGATAACGGCCGTCGGCGCAGAAGGCCAGGGTGCCTTCATCCATGTCCAGGACTACGAGCAGTCGGTCTGGCACTAAGAACTGCTCGTCGGGCCGTAGTAAAGACGGGTAGGTCGTGCCGCTGCCGCCCGTGCCTTTGGCGTTGTGATACACCTGGAAATAGAAGCTTTTCGTTAAGGAATTGGAATGAAGTTAATGATGACCATGATTGATAATCCTTGGGACCAGTCGCAGATCCACTATAGTGGGCAAAATGGACATAATCATAAGGAGATCGACATTATTAGTGATGTGACCATAACCTTTTTTGATGTTGGTTCTGCGCTTGCTTGGAACATCTGACAACTTTCGAAAACCAATGGGAATGGAGCGTTTTCGTAGTTAATTTCATGATCATTTATAATATCGCTAAGAAGAGAGGACGGGAGATAGAGGATTAAACATCGCTCAATACATGTGACTCTCTACACTGTTATCCAAATTCCAATATCCAACATCATGCGCCGCAGACGTCCCACGAACGAATGACTGTAGGTTAACACTCTCACTTCTCAAATCGTTTTGAACAAAACGAAGGTGAACTTTTCTACAGGCACAGAACATTCTAGCACATGATACCAACCTTATTTCTGCCTAAATCCCATCCCCAGCTTTGGTCCGTGGCGCCGACTAGGCTCTGGTACCCAACGGAATGCAACGGCGCGTGTGCCGTAGCCACGCCGACCACCGCATGCGTGCCCCGCTGGCGCGCCGGCCACACCACTTCCCAGCAGTGGAGACCACGCGAGTAGCCCACTCGGCCTCGGATGCAATCCGTGCTCTGGGCCACCGGGTGTCGGTGGAACGTTAACGCGTCCTCTTCTTTTACGAATATGTTTAGTGATCTGGAAATTACGAAGAAACTTATAAGTACACACATTAGTAGTCACATTATTTTAAGTCGTCATTGCAGGAGGACGACCCTCTCCAATCCTTTAGAGGCGAATGGAGAACTCGACCCTCGCTACCCAGGGAGGTCAATTAAGAAAGTGTTTAATTGTAAAGTACTCAGTCATCGCCTAGTACAATATTGGAATCCAGGTTAGATTTATAGTGACAGTATTTTCATCATCACTTTGTATACAAATCTTATGTTTTCACTCTCGCAACTTACACATAGGCTAGGAAGATTATATTATTTATAAAGCATGCACATTTATTTTTATACCAATAAGTATCTGGGGGCACGGCAGTGCCCCCGCCAAGTCGAGCGCGAAGCAAACACTGCCGTACCATCTTTACTGGAACCATTTCGCCGCATTTTCAGGCCTCTATTTGAGAACCTCTGGATAAGACCAGAACGCAGAAATTTTTGTCATCTAGTAAGCTATAATCACATACTTAAAATCCAAAATTTCAAGTTTGTAGGTCATTTAGTTCCGAAGTTAAGCGAAAGCAAAGTTTCGCATTTACGACACTCACTCACTCACTGATGATCATCAAAATAGAACTAGTACTTCCCATTAACTCAGAGAGCTGAAATTTGGTACAGAGTTAGGGTTTAATGACTACATAAAGGGAAAACTATAAAAACTAGGAAAATCGAAGATCTGGAGTAACACCACATTCATAATCCATACTACTAGCGCCACACCGGCACCGTGGTGTTCGCCTGTACCGCTCATCGCTAGATGGCGTGGCACTTGTTATTAAAACAATTTCTGATTCATTGTCCATTTTAAAGGTCGTTGAGTTTATTTGTGTTTAATATCGTAAAAAAAATGTCGATGATATTAAAAGAAAAGACGCCGACGTTAAATAATTATGCCACTTTCTACAAAAAGAAGTGAAATCCCACCAAAAACATTCTGTAAAAAATTAGCCAAGTCTCGATGGAGCTGCCTGTTTATCTCTAAAAAGTAATGAAATCTAGACAAAGTCGTGCCAAGTCTATGGTTCCTTACTGCGATTTCTTTATTATTATATTTAATGTTGTGTGACTTGGCCGTTGAACAATCTTTATTAAGATAATCATACATAAGTATTATTGAAATACGCAGCTTTATTAAGCCTACAATTGACTGGTTATTGCATCAACGTTTTCCAAGTGCAATTTATTTTCCATCGTCAATGGGTAGCGGTTTTGGCGACAGATTGGTGCAATGGTGTCATGGAACATCTGGTTGGTTTCAACGGCCAAGTCACACAACATTAAATATAATAATAAAGAAATCGCAGTAAGGAACCATAGACTTGGCACGACTTTGTCTAGATTTCATTACTTTTTAGAGATAAACAGGCAGCTCCATCGAGACTTGGCTAATTTTTTACAGAATGTTTTTGGTGGGATATTATTTTACCTCTACCTATTGACAAATAAATCAAGCATATAAATAGCTGCATGTTAACAACGCGCCTGTCACGGTTGATACGCTCAATGCCGTCTCGCGTCTCATGCATAGAGATTTCTTAGAACTTTAGAACAATTTGTCTTAGCTGGACCGAAGCATCGTAAAATCTTATTCATCAAAGATATCATCTGCTAGACGCCTGTCGACATCTTTTCCGGTGGGAGGACTTGATTGGGTCATCATTCAGACGGCTGACGCGGCAGTCATTGTCTTTACGATGGAGCAATTAGTGGCGAAACAGTTATTTTGAAGAGCAACCTTTGCAAGCTGTAATGATACGACCGTCGACTGATAGCGCTCATTATTTGCACTGCTCAATCAAGTCCAATCAAAAAGCAAGGTGCAATTATCGTAATGCGACAACGTTATTCGTTACAAGTTATCATAATTATATTTACAAGATTCATAATTGTTGACCACGAATCGTGGAACTTCATTATTTCAATTACTAATTTCTGTTAAAATATGGGATTAGGGATTCCAGTAGCAAAACAGCTTTATGCGTCACGAGTACCGTTCAAAGTAGTTTCCTGTTTACATACTTAAACGTAAGGTCATTAATACATTTTATATGAGCGTAATTAACAAATTGGCATCATTAGCCATGTAAAACTTGGCGGTTACCACCAGGGGAATCCTTATTCTTGGGGACTCATAGTTATCGATGTTCCCTTGTCCAATTAACTTCCATTCTTTATTATCTTTTGTCTGCCGTCTACTATCTCCTGCTGAAATATTATTCAAATTTATTCATTCTAACCACATAAAATAAATTGTGGTATTTAATAACCATTGTTTTAGTACCGTTACATCAGATTTAGGAGTTAATGGTGAATTTAACTGTGATGTATTTAATTTTCCTCTAACATAGCATTGACCACTAATATTTCTATGTGTTTATTATACCTACGTGTCAGTTATTTAAGTACATTATTATTATGTGATTATAGCAAATCTAATTAGAAAGATACTAATTCAGAACTTTCGGCTGTACCCGACTCTACCCTCTATCCTAGGATTCTTTAGCGAGCGAGTAAGACAGAGAGACTTGAAATACATTGTTTGAGGGTAAATTTAGATAATTATGTAGGGTGTGCTAGGTGTGGGATATTTACACTAGCTGGTGTCTCAGTATCGCACGCCCCACGCACGTCACGTAGAATGTAAATATACTAGTGACCGACCGAATATTCGTTTTCGTTTTCGTTTTCGGCCATTTTCGGCCAAAAAATGGACATTCGGCCATATTTTCGTTTTCGGCCAAAAACCAGCCGAAGCTTCGGCCAAACCGAATATCAGAAATACGTGAATAAGATGGTGACGTTTATCGTTCCGATATCTTCGGGAGTGAATCTGATGCACTCATGGTTCCAATCTTCCAATCAGACTTGAACGGACGCGGTATTGTCACACTCTTTTGAAGTTTTGAAGTGAGGTTACATTGTAAAGGGTGTCCAGCGAAATTTTTCCAAGTTCAAAATTGAATACAAATAAAACCAGAGTTTTCATTAAGTTTAATTGTTTCAAAATAGAGTCTAATGCGGATTTGAAATACGCCATGGGTCACTGGTCGATGTGTCTTGCTTCACAGCAAGAAGGTGTCTCACCACACACGGAGAGTACCTCGATGGAGACACTGAGGACTACTTTTTCTAGACGCCTCGGTCATCAGATCTCACACCATGCGACTTTTTCTTGTGGGGATATCTCAAGTCAAAAGTTTACAGCAAAACAATCCTTAAGTAATTCAGGTTCTGTAAGAAAATATCCGCCGTGAAGTTGCAGGAAAATTATTAGCGCGATTTGCTCTCGCATAGTTGCGAATGTAAGGGTCCGGCTGTGAGAGTGCCTATAGTAAAACGGGCATCATTTAAAAGACATTGCCTATAAAAAAATAAATCCGCATTGTTAAACTCCAGTTTGCATTAGTAATAAATAATAAAAAATCATTAATTTATTTGTATGAATCATTTTTGAAGTTGAAAAAATTCCCACTGGACACCCTTTATTTCTTCTTCACTACCCAATATTTCAATATACACCGGAAATAATATTCTACTAAGAATTCATAATTCAATTTTTTGTGTTTTAATGCCGGTTTTCTTTAATCAATCCTTATCAAAAACAACTGTCAAACATCATTATGTTTTTGGTCAAAACATTAACGGTTTTCAAAGTTTTTACATAATTTCAGATTGAAATTTGAGAGTTGAAGGTCATTTTCGTTTTCGTTTTCGTTTTCGGCCGAAAATGAGACTGCAGCCGAAGCTTCGTTTTCGTTTCCGTTTTCGGCTGAAAATCCATATTCGGTCGGACACTAAAATATACCTTTGCCTAGTGTTACGTTCTGCGTAAGTTTCCTCGGAAAACGACACGAAACTTGCATGCCTACTTATCAGTATTACGTTCTTTGCGGCCTATTTCATTTTATCGGAAAAATTTACAAAACTGGATTCCCTTCATGGTGTGTCCTGCCTAATATTACATTTACAAAAATAGAGTACGAATCACTTTTGAACACGCACACGCATGTTTCTCAAACGTAGATGATGACAACCATCTTCGACTCCTCGCAGTCTACAGACTTTTATGCCCGTTTTTACCATCAATCCCTGATTTTTAAGTGACAATGAAAACAAAATTCCTGTTATGTGTTACCAGTGAAAACGGGCATTAGTCGCCTGATAGCCGTTAGCCGACCAAACTATCGGCAAATAAAAATTCTGTAACCTGATGAACAAGCATAAAAAAAATACGCACATTACACTGATTTAGTATCGGCTGATTCCTTATGCAAATTAGAAGCCGTCCATACTAACACCTAAGGGTACTATTTTATCATCTCTTGTCTGGTAATCAAAAGCTGCTAAGAATAGCCTCTTTTGTTTATTAAAAAAACAAATGGCAGTAATCTACATCTCTCTGGTAATCAAAAGCTATAGCCTCTTTTGCTTATTTAAAAAAACAAATGCCAGTGGCGTACCTGTCATCTGGATTCCACGCATGCTTGATCTGCTGGTCGGGGTGCGCGGGAGGCGCATCTAGCAGCGCGTCCAGCCGCGCCGGCCGCGGCGGCTCGGGCGCCAGCTCGCGCGCAACCACCGCCTGGAATTGAGGAATTAACTGTTAGTTCAAAATTAAAGGAGAGTGGAAACAGTTGGAGGAGGCCTTTGCCCAAAAAGGTACACAGACAAGTGTCAAATAGAATAATGTAATTTTTTTTGTAAACTTTTGTATGTTTGAATAAAGGCTATTATTATTATTAGTTCAAAATTGTATAAGAAAACAAAGCAAATGGGTAGTTGACACTAATATTCATCATTATCATCATCTCAGCCATATAGGACGTCCACTGCTGAACATATGCCTCTAATATTCAATAGTTCGAAATCAAAACTACCCTATCAGCGTTGAGATAAGCTGATTTCTAGATCCACACAGTTCACGAGTGACGTGGACCCCAACGCTATTGGTAGAAGTGTCAACTGTCAGAATAATTATTAGTCTGAAGAAGAGATCCATCCGAAAAGAAAGATGCACATTATGTACTTTATAGTTAACAGTTAATAATCAATCACGAATTTACAGCCGATACGACAGAAAAAGTTGTTACCAGGAGACTAAAAAAATGAACATGAACCATAAATATTGGACAAGGATCTCAAAATATAGAAAAAGAAAGATATTTTCGTGGAAGTGAATTCTACGTTCCTCGAAATCTAAAAAACCAAAAAGACAGTTTCTTAATTGAAAACACACATGGTAGAGTTGTGTTGGCTTCGCCAATAACCTGTGCGCCAAAGGTCTCAGAGTTCATTTTAGAAATCGTCATGCAGCTGTTAACTGTTTTTTAATGTCACAGAATCAGATAACGGATGAGTTGAATCTCCCATCTCCCAAATTACCAATTCATGAGTTATGTTAATTTGGCAAAAGTGTTCGGAGTGTGAGTTAAGCTTTGGCCAAACCAATGGCGTGCGATGTCGTGCACGGTAGCGATCAGACGTCGTACACGTATGCATTCGTAGCAACGTGTTCACATTGATGTGGCCTGTCCTTGGCTGCAGCGTCTGAACGCGGCACGATGGCGATCAGATCGCGCTGATTATTTTGACGTTTCTGATTTTAAAATGGCGAATTTTGGAACGCGAAAGTGGCAGTGCGAACAACTTTTGCACGCCCTGTGATCGCCACCGCATTTATTTTGGCTGGAGTTGTATGAAACTGGTTTAGTGTTGTACCTTGAATGGCGCCGTGCACTCGCGCGACACCGACTTGACTCCGCCGGACAGCTTTTGACCCATGTTCATGCCCCTACAGCAAGTTCTGTCATTGACCACGGCCTCCTATACAGCGTCTGCACGCGGCACGATGGCGATCAGATCACGCTGGTTATTTTGACGTTTCTGATTTTAAAATGGCGAATTTTTCATAACTTCTGGAACGCGAAAGTGGCAGTGCGAACAACTTTCGCACGCGCAGTGATCGCCACCGCCTTTATTTTGGCTGGAGTGTGTGAAACTAGTTTAGTGTTGTACCTTGAATGGCGCCGTGCACTCGCGCGACACCGACTTGACTCCGCCGGACAGCTTTTGACCCATGTTCATGCCCCTACAGCGAGTGCGGGCGCGCTTCGGCAGCGCCTTGAGGCCGCTGCGCCGCGCCTCCTCTGCGCCGCCGCCGCCGCCGCCGCCCCCGCCCCTCACTGAGCGCACCCCGCTCTTGTACCTGGAAAAAATTAAATTAAACGTTATAGCATAAACGTTTGATTGTCCATAAACTTGATGGATACCCTTCATCGAGGTTGTCAATGTTTGAGGAGTTGAGAATTGATCAATGTTCCCTAACCAGTCCTATACCAAGATTCTTCACAACAATACGCAAGTCATTGTGTCTCTCGTCTTGATAAGTGCTTAGGCATACGAAAGGTAAATCCAAAAATCCAACATAGCCGTCTCTGACAAGCTTGCTCTACACAGTGTAATATCTGCGGGTACCTACTCTATCAACTCTTATCTGGTAATCCAAAATTTTTGTGACAAAGGTGCACGTTTTATTAATTAATATAGGATACGATCAGATATCACGTGATGTTCATTACACCATCCATCTTCAAAGAGGTCGCATTAATGCATTCGACATCCAAAACCAGTTAAAGGAGAGCGTTAAATTTTGTCAGTGCAGATTTCTCTCATAAATGATGCCGATCAAAGAGCGCGTAATACTTTTAACAACTTTGACCTTTAAGAAGTCACAAAAAACAGGAACAGAATGAACGGTCGACCTCAGAAAATAAGAAGTCTAAAGTAGCGAATTTCCATTTCCACCCGCGCCACAGTCTCGTAATTACAGTCGTAAAATTGTATGATAACTTAGATAAGAATTCTAAGGCCGCGAGGGGAGTTATGAATTCGCGATAGGCAATTACGTATTTAATTTGCAATTATTACTTAATTCTATTGTGGACATCGGAGGAACCGGTTTGGACGTTAGTGAGTGGCACGCATGTCGTCATAGCAGATGCCGGGGCGTCGCGGAGTAGCCGCGCATCTTATGTAACTGGCGGCCGTCTAACCGTGAAAGTCACCGATCAACAGCCAAGGTTAAGTCGGCCCTGGAGCCTCGCTCCACCGACATATGTCCGAATGTTCTATGACCGATGCTTTAAATGTTATTTATTTTTATCCTTGACCATGATGTCATGTAATTGCACAGCAAATCTTTGATTACGGACGCCGTGTTTGCCGGCTATTTGTCGGTATAGACTACCAAATAATATCGGTGTGGCCATGCATCATTAAAATGGACGTGTACGGAGAGCGCAGGACGTAGCATTCGCAAATTGGGGATGATGTCACCGACGTAGTGAGGTTTTAGACCCGGCCACATAGACAGAGAGCATGATGAGAAGGGACGCCTAGAAGGCACGCAAGCTACAAGGCCGTCTGCCTTTCCGTTGCCTAGAGCGACTCCATGACAAAAGCGGGAAGTGAAAGGCAGTGAATGTGTCCCCTCCCGTCGCGTCGCTACACCGCGAACACCAACATCATTGTTAAACGCTGCGTTCCTAGAACGGCGACTGGCTTGACACACTTGATAAACGGTGAACTTGAGCAGGTTTGCCATAATTATTGTGAAACATGTTCGTGTTTTAATAGCGTGGTTTTATAAATATGTTTACAAAGCCACTAACGTCTGTATGTACGCAGTTCAATTATGAAACCGGCAAAAGCAATGAATTTAGGTATCACGGCCACAAAAGAATGTGACTGCAAATAGCTCGAGGAGTTCATTGATCCTTTCAGACAGCGGAAGACACGTCATTTTAAACATTCAAAACCGCTTTGATTTATTTCAGTCGTGAATAATACAACATTGTTTTTATCATTTAACTTTTTGCGTACAAAATAAATACGCAATTGCAGATTTTGGGTCACAAACAGAATTTAATCGATAGTGGGATATAATCTGGGGTATACAAGAATCACGTGGCGTGGCCAGATAGTAAACAAACAGATAGGACACGTGTGGCCGTCGACAGCGTGACGTCATGACATGCCGGCTCTGGAACCGATCCACGTGGATGCTAACTGACAATTTTAAACTAATCCTGACCTATTTTTTGCGGGCATGCTCTTAGTGATTTACATTTGAGTTCGATTTAAAATGTTGCAATAAGTGACGTGATGTTTCTCTATAAACACTGTAACAAGAATTTCAATAATCAAATCGCAAGAGCTGCAACTCGCGTCTGAAATGCCAGGATACACGATACTATTGATATTGCCTCATCGCATCGCGTCGTGGGAAAACGTTGCGGCGTGTTTTACCAACGTCGGCAAATGTAGAAATAGAGTGGGTTCTTTTTAAAAGCAATGAGTACTTAAATGTAAAGCTCGGGTGCGGTTGTTCAGCGCCGTTCACGCTCGGTGAGAGGTGAATGGAACAAGCGAACGTTGCTAGGCCGACAACATTAGCTTGCGCCAGCCAACGCGCCCGAACAATGAACTAGTCGAGTGACGTGCGCTGGCTGGACGTCATCATTGTAAATATTATATCCCTGGGCGTACGGCGCGCGATACTACCCATGTCATGAGAGTCAACGACTTGTGATCGAATTGGCAATATCGCCTCAATTCGCTTCGATTACGCGCAATATTGCCCGAAATTAATATTGAGTCGGTAGAGCTGTTTTCGAATTTCAATATCTCGACAATCGTGTTTACATTGATACTTATATTTTTTGCTATATTTTTCAGACACCAATTCTATGAGGCCAAGGTAGCTAGTAATTAAACAAAATACTGATTGGCAATGTTTAATTCGGTAAACAAACAAAAACGAAATCTACGAGCGAAATTGAAACGTTCTCCTGAAACTGAATTGAATACTGAACGAGCTTGCGGAAGGTGGATTATTTGTTAATTGGATCACAGCACGTACATTTATTATTTAAACGAATTTAAAACGCTACAATGTCAAACAGTGCTTAATTGGAGAAATGACAGGGATTTAGCAAATGAGAGTTGTTGTGAAAATAAATAGCGAGATAATTGTGCACGTCGGTATCGTATTAAGTTAATGTGACGAGTCGAAGCGCAATTTTAAAATCTCCCAGCTTGCGAGCAGAAAGCGAGCTGCCACTTTCTGCATTAATGGTAAGGGTCATCTTGCGAAAGAAACGACGACCGTGCCATATAAGGATGCTTAAATAACTTAATGTATTTAAATGCCGTTTCCACGACGCTTAACATTTGGGCTGGATCTTAGTAGCAAGTTGAACAATTCGCCAACATCCACCATTCTAATACGTTTCGATGCCGCTAACTCGCTAAATCCTTTATCGTGCTCGATTCCAAACTTGGTCAAAATTGATAGTTTAAGTTGGAAAACTCATTCGCGAACAGATACGACTCGTGGGTAAGGTTCGGTTATCGTATGTCAAATATTTATCCGTTTGTAGGGCTCGTAATTCAAAGTTTAGATATGTGATAAGATGTACAAGCAAATGTACGATTACTGGCATTCAATTTTACATGCTGTAACTGAACCTAAATGTACAGAAACAGGGACGAGGCTAAAGTTAAATACTAGTCGTCTGAGAATTGTTTATTCATTAACAAGACTCTTCAGTAATTAACGGATGTTTTGCAGTCGTAAGACTTATCTTGTGATATCGTGATATTTATTATGATGGAATATTTGTTTTTTTATTCTTCACATTCCCTTTTTTTAAGGAGAAGGTGAAAAATCCAACACAGAGTAACGCGTGTCCTGAACACATGCTAGTTGAGCAAATTAATCCAATTTCGGAAGTAAAAAGGATTGCGTGCAACTGAAATCGGTTTATCCGGGCAGCCTCGACACCGCGGTGATGTACTGTCTCTGGTTTTAAATAACAATTAAATAATCGCCAGGGCGTGTCGTTACAACCTTGCGTCTTGCCGTGTTGCAACTCGTGTCAAGGAAAAACCCACTTAACAGTTTCCCTGGCCCCGAACGTTGCTAACTTGAAGTTCGCATGCGTACCGAGAAACGATTTTTCCTATACAAATGTAGATAAAACGGTAAACGTACAATCTAACATATTCATAGTTGACGTCTAAAAATACAAAAACGTTAAAAATATTTATTCGAATTGACGTTTTTAGTTAGTAACAAGTACCTACTGAACAAGGTTATGGATGGGTATTGTTTTAGCATAAATCAAAACAATTGACGTCACTACACTCACGACATATTTTCTCGCAAATTCGCAAAATTGCCGTCCTTAGGTCTTACATGAATGTAGAGTTTTGACTACATATCTTGAGGCTATTGCAGTTATTGTTTGTTTATATAAATAAAATGAATGGGAGATAAAAGAGGATGCATTGAATGATTAAAGAGGCGTTGAATAATGATACTGGTGGGTGACGGTTACATAACAAGCCGCGATGTGACGCGGCGCATGCTGCTCGCTGCATTCGTCATGTCAAGGATGTGTTGACTTCAGCATTATTTAACGAAGCTATTGTGCCACGGCCGTCAACATGCCCACAGCCTGCTTAAATATCGACAGATAATAATTTCGGAATGTTATTCAAATTAAAAAAAAGAATTTTAAATTTCATGATAGGTTTGGCTTAGGAAAGTTGAATCTGATACTGGTTGGACTACGATTTTACCAAAAAGGCATCATAGGCTTTCGGGGCTATTTTAAAAAATAATTTCGCTCACTGAACACTTACATAAATATGGTGATTAAAATTACTGCATGTCTCAAATAGGCTTGTAAGAATATACGGGATTCGGGATACGTGTACATTCGCTCATCTGACTACATTTCCTTAGCATGAGCTTCTATGAATTGTAGAGTACGAAGTACGAACTGTGAATAGATACAGTGAATAATAATTCCAATTAAATATTCAGGCCGTAAAAACATAATATTAAAGGGGCAAAGCTATATTAATCATTGGAAAACCCAGCACCAGCACATGTACGCATTACTAATAAAAAGTGACGTAAACATAATGCGCAGAATATACATTACTGGTGCGTAACATTTACGGCTCTCGTCATTCCAGTGTTCAGGCGGGAAGATTAGTGGAGCAGATTAGATCGGTGAGTAATGTGTAATGTTTATGTATCAATTGATATTGTTTGTTCATTAGCGCGGTGCATAGCGTGGTCGGGTCGAGCATGCACCGGTAGCCGAGGGCCTTGACTGCAATGCGCGCGCGCCG